GAAAACTTTCATAAAAAATCTGTGTCGAGCCCAGCAGTATGGAATTTGTCACTAATCATTTTAAACTATGCCCTTTTATGCTTCCTCTGTCTCTCTCAGGTTTCTGGGTAGCTCTTTGATGTAACAAAGACGGTTTCAGACAAGATTTCAGTTCATCTGGAGGAAAAAAAAAAAAAGGTTTAAGTCTAGAGGCAACATGCCGTGTATTTAAAATTTATATACTCTATAATGCCTTTGTTCTGAACTTGAAGATCTTGCAAAACTTCTAAGCTTCTTTGCCTCCCTGCTCTAAGCTCATTTGTGCTTCCTTTGCTTATTATCATGCAACTGTGACTTTAAGTCCTGGTTCCATCGTTTAACTACATGCGGAGTCATGGCTGACCCTTTCTGATCAATTGCCAATCCATACAGGTTTGACTGATAAAAGAGCCAATTAGATTTAAGCAAATTAAGGGACATCACCAATGTCAACCGCTTATTAAACTGAATGCTGAATTCCATGCATACAAAACACTAATGCACTGAGCCCCCATTAAGAGTTGAAATCCTAACCCCATTAGTAACTCCAGACCTTGAAGGGGCAAAGGTCCCAGGAAAGTTTCATATTTATGGATTAACATTTGGATTCCTTTTTTTTTTTTTTTTTTAATTCTTTCCCTAGAACTCTTGAACCTGCACTCCAATGTTCTTCAAGAGCTCAGATTAAATATATTCTTCATTTCTAAGAGGATCTTAGTGCTAAATAGGAACATTATGCTCTTACAAACAACCTAAAATATAGTTCTTGTGGAAATACGAAAAAGCCTGAATCCGCCGACGTGGGGAAGGATATGCCGTGTAGTTGGAAAGCAAAGATCTCCTCCACTTGACCAAATTATATTTCAAATGAATTTTTAAAATAAAAAAAATGAGCCCTGGCCAGTTTGGCTCAGCAGTTAGAGCATCAGCTCATGAACCAGAGAGACCCGGGTTCGGTTCCCACTAAGGGCACGTACCTAGTTTGTCTTCGGCCCTGGTTGGGGTCATGTGGGTGGTGACCAGTAGATGTGTCTCTCTCACATCGATGTTTCTCTCTCTCTTCCTCCTTCTCTCCCTCCTGCTCTACCTGAAGTTAAATGCAGAAATGTCCTCAGGTGAGGATAAAAATAAATAAATAAAAAAATGTGAGCTGTTTGAGATCTACACTATCTGTGTACTAAGCTATTGGTTCCATGATTGCACTTGGCTTAATGTCCACCTTCAAGATAACTTGTGTTTATCATACTGTTTAATCATGTTTCTCTTTTGGGAAGGGGGGTCAGTTAGTTTTATTTAATTAAATTAGTTTTATTACAACAACAGTAAAACAGGAAGATCTGATAGAATCAACTGGGCTTTGAGATGAGATATTGTTGAACGTTGTTTTTTTTTAATGTCTGGCTTTATCGAGGTATAATTGGTATATAAAAATAGCACATTGATCATATTTTTTTCTCATTAGAAAGATACAGAAAACAGCCAGGCCGGTGTGGCTCAGTGGTTGAGCACCAAGCACCAAGAGGTCGCCAGTTCGATTCAGTCAGGACACATGCCCAGATTGTGGGTCCGATCCCCAGTGGGTAGCATGCAGGAGGTGGCCAATCAGTGTTCTCTCTCATTGATGTTTCTATCTCTCCCTTCCTCTCTCTCTCTCTAACATCAGTAAAGAAAAAAAAAAAGAGTGAAAAATACAGAAAACGAATATAAAATAAGACGTCTTGTAACCAACAACTGAGAGATGATATACCAGGGGAAAATGTTTCATACCATATACCTTTGTCTCTCCGTTTCTAATGTCCTATATAAACCAAGGTCTATTATCCGATGCTACTGTAAGGGAAGTAACCACTGTAGGGAAGGCCTCACAGAGTGAGGAGTTGCTGCGACTGGAGAGTATTTCTTACCATCAGTGTCCCTGCCCCCTGCAGCTGCCCCCTCACATCCGTCGGCTACAGCATCTCTACTCTGGACAGCGACACACAGAGCAGCTCACACTGTCCGCGGCTTGATAAATAAAGGCAGCTTCGGCGGAAGATGCGGCCGGACCGGGCAGGCCTGAGCGATGACACTCTCGCGATCTCACCCTGGTCATTAAGCTCTCCTGACTGATGCATCTATTCATTCACTCACCCATTGTCCATCATACACCTTCCGTGTGTCGGGCTCGGTCCAGGGACTGCGGATAAAAATGTGAATAAGAAACGGTCCCTGCTGAGGGGGATCTTACAGCCGTGACTGTGACAGGCAGACCAGACAGGTACAAGCCCTACAACGTGATCCGACCATGGGACACACAGGCTCTGGCTCAGGTTCACTCAGGGACAAATTCGTTTCCGGTGGACTGATTTCTAAGTTGAAAGCTGAAAAGATGAATAGGATTGGGCCAGGCAAGGGGGTGAAGGAGGTTTTCAAGGCAATGTTTGATAGCGAACCTTCGATTAAAAACAAAAATTTGCGTTTTTGTTTTACCCAAACCATCTATTACTATGTTTTAAACTAGACTGAGAAGAAAACATCACAAATCTTGCGTAATCCAATATAGAAAGTCAGTAGGAAATCAACATCGCCACAAAAGAGAGCTAACATCAAAATCAAGGCAACAGCAAGGATGATCACAACCCGAATGCAATGAAGAGTAAATAGCATATAGAGCCTTTTCTGCCCATAAGTTCGCTTCTGTACATTGCGGTTCATTTATTATTCATTTCGGTATGAAACACAGTTCACTAGACAAAGGCATGGAAGATTTCTTTAATAACTCTCCGTACTAATTTAATTCTCCTTAAACACACATATTCTCGTGAATGCCACATGCTTTTTCAGCATGATTTTACGTGTAAATCAGGATAATATGTTTTCAGATCATTAAGTAAAAGGAAGCATGAACTAAAACCTATTTAATCAATGAGGTATCACCTTTAAACTGCCACAAGGTCATAAAAAAGATCATTTCAAAGCTATAAGTTCCCTAATTGTAATCAACAACAATCTAATAATGGAAAAAAAAAAAAGTATGTCCTAATGCCTGCCATAAACTTGAGCAAATCACTGTCGGTCTGGAAAGAGCTTTTCCTTCCTTTTTCGGGGAAGGGCCATCTCTCAGGTCTGGATTTCTGAGTACAAAGCGAATGGCTGCGTCATGCCCAGGGAGTGGGGACCTGCAGAGCCCTCTGACGACCTGTGGACGGGCAACCACGGAGCAGGATGGAGCCTCGGCAGTTTCTCTGTACCACTCGGAACAGTTTCTAGCCTCTTCCTGATTGCATATTATCAGCCTTTCACTAACCCAGGTACCTTCACCCAGTGCGACCGAGTTAGTCACAGGATCTTGCAATGTTGAACTGAACTCTGTGTGTATTTATGTGCGTGCGCACACACACAGACACACGTATATGCACATAAATATTACAAAACATTAGACCACACATTGTCAAACACATCAACAGTTCATTCAAGTGGCCCTATTTTACACACGTGACACGAATCGATGTCAATGACAAACTATCTAAATCCGTGTAAACGCCCATAAAATGAATATATAACTCATTAAATATTCCACGTATCCTGTTAAGGAGATATGACTATGGAACCAGAAACTCTCCGTTGAGGCACTACTTTTTAATACCTAATTGTGAATAAAGGGTATTAGATACTAGGAATAGAGTCATCATGATTTTCTAGCCTTTCCAACATGCTGGGTTCGAGCACAAAAAGGAAGATACAAATTCCCAAGGTTTCTTTTGTTTGGGGTCCCAATTCTTAAAAAAGCTCTATTGAACTTCAATTCCCATTTTTATTATGGATTCATCAATTATGATACTATCTGAGTTGATCAGCCCCCCCCCCAAAGTCTCTTTCAAGCACTCTTTTCTGAAAGAACACAGCCTCTACCATTTAGAGTTTCAAGTGCTTCAGGAAACATCTATTCATCAATTCCACGATGTCCTGAGAGCGAGGTAACAGTGAGCTGATTTTAGGACACAGCAGGTACCGCCTCTTTCCTGGAGAGGGCCCACCAACTGCCTCATCTTCCTCTAGCAATGAGGCCTTTCTTGCTGGTCTATGCATTGTTACAAGAGAAGGGATTTCTGCAGCCTTGGAGACTCCTGTTAACCAGACAGTGACATTGTCCCTTAGCCCAGGACACACTGGTCCCCGGAGCTGGGCTCCAAGACAGACACTGCGTGTCCAGAGGTCCTTTTCCTTTGGTATTTTCAGAACACATGCATTCCTGAACACACACTTCAGAATCATGCTCTTGCTATTCTGAGCATGTTTTGTATTCGAAGGCTCTACTTGTCAGGGTAAGAAGGATTAGCCCCACAAATAGTTAAAACAGAAAAGAATTGACTGCAAATCAAAACAATACTTCTGAGCAAGTTAGATCCTTTTTCTTACAGAAATGTTTAAAATGAAAATATCCAGATGGTAGCACATTTCGCACGTGGAAGGTGACACCACTGAACTCGCATCATTAAGACGCGGAGTTTAAAGGTGTTTTCCAGGGCTGAGCAGAGTTCTCCTGTTCCATTGCCTACACACGCCCGTTTTTACCAAATGGGAAAGGTTGAGATACACATCTAAATTAGTTTTTCAAAAAACCAGGCCCAAGCACCACTTGTGTTAGAAAATTAGAGCTCAAATTGAAACAATAAATTTTGAATCTAATCAGTCTCAAACAAAAAGCACCTTCCAGTCTTTTTAACATGAATAAAGCAAGAAATAGATGTACATGTGTATCTACAAACACACACACACACACACACACACACACACACACACGGTGTGAGATAAAAGCAGCCTCAACTAAACAATAAAACAATATCAGCAACAGGGTCTCAATAAAGCAACACAATCGCCAGCAAACCAACCAACAATACAAGGGAGCCCCTACATTGTGAAAGAAAATTAATTCTAACAGTAAACGAGGGGATCAGTGGACACATGTCCGTTTAGATAGGCGAGGTTGCTCACTGACTTACCCCCTGGTGGCATCACGACCTTGGCAGGGTCGCTCATCAAGCTGCCTTGGGTGTTTGAAGCATTTACTTGAACAGCGTAATCAGTAAAAGGAACCAGCCCGTGGATGAGCACCCAAAGGTTGGTCTCTTCACCTCGGTGCATGATTTGTGTGCCATTCAGAAGAGTGAAGTTATTAACTGCTGAAGGAAAAAGAAACTTATTAGCATTAGTATGTATCTAAGGAGTCCTTCCTGCTCTGATGTAAACATTTTCTCGCGTTCCCACATATTCAGTGCTACACCGAATTACGCTACCACCACCATGACCACCACCGTAAGAGGCGTGGCACGTGGCTTCTTTCGTTTTGCTCTTCTGTAGACACGATGTTACCTGGGATGACATTGTTTCCTAATGCTTTCCCTACAAGATTAAAGAGCTGGACTGATTCTAGGATACTACAAAGCTACATCATAGAAGTAAAAACACTGCACCATCACTTGATGAATTACAGACAATGTGTTTCAGGGTTTCTCAGGTACTTGGATTTTCCGCGATGTGCAGACGGAGAGGAAATCACTCTCTTCCCCCAGACAGAATGGTTCTGGATATAAACAGTGTAGTCAAACATACGGGTCAGAAAGGTTATTTAGCATCAGTTGGGGTGATTTCCGCTCCTTTTGCATGAGAGGTGGGTTGACTGCTTTCTATCTGACACCTGATTAAATCCGTCCTGGTCAGAATATCCTGAAAGGCAGTCAGGGTGGGAAGCCACGTGTCCCCTCTGAGCTGATGGTCAGTCTCTTCGCTCTCTGGGGAAGGCAGAGGCTGCTGGCTGTAGGGAAGAGTCACTTTCAATGTATCCTCCCCAACCCCACCATCACCCTCCCAACGCTTCTGGAAACCCTCTCTCAACTCGTAACACGTCTCGGACAGAGGAACACGCTGGTGTCCGACAAGAGTGTTTTATCTCCTCTTCCTCGCTTCTAGATTATGCTCAAGGTTAAGAGGAGTGAGAAATTAGACTTAAAATTACAAGGAGCCCAACCCCCAAACTGTTGTAACACTCATTTCACTTTCAATGTTAGATGCTTTCCTGAAAACTTTACATGGGGCACATTTTTCAAAATATTGCCTCATTTTAGTAAAATTTATTTATAATGCTATTGAAACACACACACATAAATCATTAAGAACAGCCGTATTCACTAAAAATACCCTTCTTCCTTTGCCAAATCACTTATTATATTTACCTTTAACCTTCTGCAAAGGGAATAAATGGTACTTATGAGCTAAAAACAAGAAAATAATATTTCCTATTCATTTTTAGTGAAACAGGATGAAGACACATTCACAGCTTAGCAATGGTTTTAATTTCCTCAAATGGAGACAATTCATAGCTGAATATGCATAACATATATTAGCAAGAAGTCCTGACACCTGCCAAGTAGCCTTTGATAACTTCACACGCATAGAAAAGACACTTCCAAATTGAGTTATATTTATTAGCTTTCATGCATTTTTAAAAAAAATTTTTTTTCCTTTATTGATTTCAGAGAGAGAGAAATTAAGAGGGAGGAAGAAACATGGATGAGAGAGAGCACTGATTGGCCGCCTCCTGCATGCCCCCACTGGGGATTTAGCCCACAACCTAGGCATGTGTCCTAACTGGGAATCAAACTGGCGACCTCTTGGTGCATGGGTTGACGCTTAACCACTGAGCCACACCAACCAGAGCATACATTCTTTAAACAAATTTTTTATTCTCCTTTATTGATTTTAGAGAAGGAGGAAGTGAGAGGGAGAGAGAGAGAGAAACGTTGATGGTGAACATCGGTTGGCCAACTCTTGCATATTCCCTGACCGGAATTGAACTGGCAACCTCTTGGTGCATGGGTCAATGCTCAACCACTGAGCCACCGCAGCTGGACTCTTTCATGTATTCTTTAAATCTAGTCAAACTTGCTTCGACCAAAGATGATTGAGCTCCAAGTGCACGCCAGGAGTAGACCTTGCAAGGTGCTTATAACCATATGCTCAAAATGCTCCAGACGAGGTTCCCGCATTCTAGAAACCTGGTTAAGATTACATGTGAATTGCTTCTAGCTACTGTCTAAGAAAATTACATCGGCCACGTCCCAAGACCACCTTAGGTTCCCACCATGTCCAGTTCTGCGGAAGCCTTTGCTGTCACAGCCAAAGCTGCTGCTGTTGCTACGAGCCCAGTTGTGAGATTTCAAAAAGCTCAGCTCATCCTAGAAGACCCAGGCAGAAGCTCAGGGCCCCTGGAGCAGTGTCACTGGGCACATCTTTCCAAAGATGGAGTGTGGCAAAGCGACAACAAAAATTCTGAAATTAAGCCAAGAGAATACAATTTTACAAATTTTAAGCTAGGCGCAGATGTAAGATCAAGAAGTCCGTATCTATGCTTCTAATATTGGTGATTCCCCCCCCCCCCCTTGCATTTTGTTGGGTTTTGAAGCAAATTTCTAGCTTTAAAACAAACACTATCACCAGCTTTGAAAACGGCAGAACCGGGGAAATATATTAAGTATCGTTTTATTCTAAGTTTCCCAGATAACATTAATACATGGTAATTATACAATTAGTTGTAACATCAAGTTCTAGTTATAGAACAATGATTACTCAGTAATTATAAGAAGTATATAATTACTCAATAATTATGAGAAGTACGCAATTACATAAACCATTTTGTTCGGTTCAGAAAAGAACTTACGTGTCTCTGGGTGCCACGCAGCTGAGTGAGTCTAACACAGGTCAATCCACAGACCAGAGCTACTGACTGGATTTCAACCCCAAGGAAGCTCAAAATTTCCAGATTCAAAACTAAAACAGGACCCTCAGATTTGGGCTTTTCCTCCAGGGCGTTCTCCCTGACCTCTCTGCCTTTGAACTTGACCAATTTGGGCTCCTGGATATTGGGGAAAATTCTCACCGTGGAAGTCCTCTGAACCCCCCTCTGGAGAGGGGGTGCTTTTCCACTCTTCACTGTGTATGCTGTCTTCAGTGGGCTGGAAAATGCAGTCCCGTCGGTTCAGCTTCAAGAATCAAGCTGGGAAACGCTAGAGCGATCAGCATTTCTTATCACAGGTGAGCATCCCCATCTGGTTGGCCTCCACGCTGACCCTATTTGAGAGTATAAGTGGATCGTGCAGGACTGTAGAAGCTTCTGGATTCTGGAAACACAACTCCATCACCCTGCCCCCAGGACCGGGAGTCTGAAGTGGAGTTCCTCTCTTCCGCCCTCTTTGGCGGTGCCTTGGATCACTAGGCTCCCACTAAGATCTTGGCAGGAGGGGTTTGTCCAGCCCCGTGTGCCAGGGCTCATCAACGTATCTGGGGATTCTCGGTGAGCTTTTACATCCCTGAGTTCCACCCCGGATCTCCTGGGTGAGAATATCAAAGGGTTGGGTCCAGAAGTCACTTGATGCTGCTTTTTCTGCGGGAAGAACTACTGATTTGGGGGTTACTTCATCCATGCTCCAGCTGGTCTTTTTAATTTCGTTTTGCAATCACAGTTTAGATTCGACGTTGTTCTGTTATCACTCTCAGGTGGCAGTATCGAGATTAGACAATCACACACTCTACAGAGTGTCCTCCCCAATATTTCAGGGACCCACCTGGTGCCAGGCACAGTTATTACAACATTGTTGGCTGTATTCCCTGTGCTCTGCTTTACATCCCTGTGACTATCTTGTCACTTAGTTCTAGTCTCTTCACCTTGTTCACTCGGCCGTCCAACCCCTCCCCCCTCTGGCATCCATCAGTCTGATCTCTGTATCTAGGAGTCTGTTTCTACTTTGCTTCTTCCAAGCTGGTCTTAAATTAATAATCAAAATGTATTTACTTTGCTTTCCAAAATATTAGGTCACATTTGGCATCCTTATTAATTGATACCTTTGAATTCTAGCTTTAGGCTATAAGATGTTTATTTGATTATTAAAATAATGCATCCTCACCTAATATAGAAAGCTAACTCAAATTAGATCTATCCTTACAGACTACAAAATCTAATGCAGTTGTTTTATAAGAAATTTTTAATGTGCATAAAAATAATTTTATAAATTTTTTTATTTCCTTTATTAATTTTTGGAGAGAGAGGAAGAAAGAGGGAGAGACAGAAACATTGATGAGAGAGAACATCGATTGGCCGCCTCCTACATGCCTCCCACTGGGGATTGGACCCACAACCTGGGCATGTGCCCTGATCAGGAATTGAACCTGTGACCCCTTGGAACATGGGTTGATGCTCAATCAAATGAGCCACACCAGCTGAGCATAAAAATAATTTTTAAAATAAGTAATGATTACCACGTACCTGAGAGCAATAACTTTAGGATTTCAGATTTACGTATTTCTCCTCCCTCCCCCACGGAGGAATCTAGGGGAAGAAAGAGTCTTTGTATGTCAGCCAACATTATGCACCGAGTGGAGAAAGCACATTCTATAGATGTCATGTAAAAATTTAAAATAAACTAGACACTGTTTCAGGATACTCCTCATTCTAAAGAATTTTCAGAAAGGTTAGTTCACGCATTCCTACTTTTCTATTTTATATTGAATAAAAGAGTGGTAAATGGAGACACAACCAAAATAAGTCTCCTGTCCTACAGATTTTACTTGCAAAGATTTCACTTCCTTTCAGCTTCAACTACGAAGTTGTACCCAAATGTTCACAACATCGGTGCCCGTGTTGAAGGCTGACATCTTACTGTTCACATTCTTACTGACTGAACAGTAGGCTATTTTCTGTACTATTGTTTTTTAAGCAAACATCAGCCTACATAGATGAATCAGGGACACACATGATGGCCATTCTGGGACTCTCACCGTGTTGGGTTCTCTAGATAGAACTAACATCAATGGGTATGCTTTCCCCATTCCTGTTATAATCATTGTCACAAGAATTTTAATGCACCATATATTCCATAATTTTTTTCCCTTTGTGCTGTACCGCTCTGACCTTTTCAATATTCTGTAATTTGACTGGCTGGTCATTTCGGTTCTCTCCCTTTTTACAGCCTTATTAACTTGTGGGAAGGAGGTGAAATGAACAGCCAATCAGAATACGTAATATTGCAAAGGTCAGCGTAGTCTTGTACAGTATCATCACACACGGAGGACTGTACGCCAGGCATTAACATCCTGATATCTTATTCATGTGACAAAGATTGTAACGAGA